CGGGGGGGGGGGTGAATGCAAGAGAGAGAAAAGGAGAGAAAGAAATTGAGATGAGGAAGACAAAGGAGGAAGAGATAAGGTGGGGGAGACCGTGTGTGGGCCCTAGAACTTGGGTGTCATTGTTTCTCTGCTTCCTTGGTGGTGGGACTCGCGAGCGAGCGAGAGCGACCAGCCGAGCGTTCCGCCGGTCGGTCGGAAGCAATCATTTCCCAAACTTTAGGTAGTAGAGTGAATATAAGCGATCAGCTCCACCCAACATATAGGAAATTCATCCATAACCAAGTATTCCGTTTATTCATATTATTTTCTGAATTTCAGCATTTGGGGGTTTTGTGTTGACATACTGGAAATACGAACTATAATATTTTAATAAATTGGAAATTTCTACACAAAATAAAAGAAATAATTTAATGACTTCAAAAATTCAGATGCTTCCATTTTTAAAATCTAAGACGAACAAAAGTTCAATTTTTTTCAAAAATTTAAAACTACAAAATCGATAATACAAGTTTCACAAAAAAACCAATATTTGGAAAATATCATTTCACTAATCTTCTAGTTAACCTTTTGCTTTCGAATATTATACCAACAAAATCATTCCTTCAGAATAAACTTCAGTGATTGTTCACATCTTAGAAACACCATGTCGTAGTTTAAATAATTAAAACATGTTTTGGTGAACTTTAGAAACATTACATATATATTTCATGCAAATTTTAATTATTTCACTAATATTTTTAAATTATTTCATAAATAGCAAGCATTCATTTTAAACTAATTTCATTTATGAAAAAATGTATTGATGAACTATTTTGGATCGCATATTGGCAAAAAATATGAAAACTTCCACCAATATATGATCCAAAATAGTGAACACATTTCAAATTATTTCATAAGTAGTAAGCTCAGCGTACAACAGAAATCCCATAGATGAACCATCTCCCGATCAAAAGTTTTGCCAACTCCGTCGTTGTAGAAGGGAAGGAACAAACAAAAAACGATATGTATCCTTTCACCCAAGGTGGGAAAACGAGGCCACAACCTCATCGTTGCCACAAAAACAGTCGGGAAAGCATCACTACGATCCCAAAGAGTCAGCTCTCCGCATCTACATCTCTGTTTACCTGCGACACCCCACCGCAAGGAGCAATTATTAGAAGACCATCGATCTCAACCATGAACTCGCTAAGATCCGATGACTACCACCACAACCGACAATGATGAAGCGTGCTGCCACCGCTACCTCAACACCAATTCACCACCAAAACAAAAAGAAACGCTGCTTCGAAGGAAGACTAGATGAATGTTATTCGCCGCCGCCATCGCCACCATATGATCCCAAACTATGTAAAATCAAAACCTAACTAAAATGCCTATGCTACTGAGTGTGGAACAAAGATCCCAAGGTTCCCCTTCCTTCTGCTGCCACCAGAGAAGCTAATGGGGGCGGATCCATATCTTTCCTCTATCTACATTGATCTTTTAACCTATCTAAATTGGTTCTTTGCGACTAGGAAAAAAATATTCTTTTTTTCAGGGTTGTACAATAATGATGATCCTCTCGCCATGTAATATTACCATTAGAAAATCCGCGTTCATCGTTTAAGATGTAATTGAGCCGTGATCAGTTTTCCTACATCTATTGACGAGGGGTATAGAAATTAGCTTACGGGGTTAGCTGACAAAATCTAATTAAGGAGGAGAGGGCCCCACATTAAAATTAAAGGGGGTGTCTTTTTTGTGGGAAAAGGGATGAGACTAAAAAGGGGAAGATACACACCCCTGCTTTCATTTCGATGACAATTTCCCCATATGAATAGGATTTTCGCGCAACATTGGCGTGAAGTTTCACTTGGGTGCATATGCACCCCGTTGGATGGTAAAATCAGAAAAAAAATCATTTTCTTTTCTTAAAGCAACATTGTTAGAACGTAAAAGTTTTACTAACATGAAAGTTTTTGTGATGAAAAACATTGTGGAGGTTTGAAAAAGCACAAGGATCCTCAAAAAGGGCAATTTTCGAAAGCACTTTGAAACATTGATTTTTTTTTGTCTAGACCTCCATGGATGTTTTTTCATCACAAGACTTTACACATATTAGTACAAACGTCTTATAGACAGTTACAGAGGTTGTAAAACATTCCACAAATGTTTATCACGTAAAAAAAACTCAGAATGTCTTTTGAATTTACGGCTCATTCATTCGAATTTTTTACTGTTCATTCCGGATCCATATGCAACATGAGCTCGTTTTCGGATTAGTGACGCCGCCTGCCGCTTGGCAAAATCTGTCTTCGCGGTAGGGCACTTGCATGAGACGTGGGCATTGCCGCGCGCACGAGCGAATAAACTTCGATCAAGGGCCACGTCGGTACCACACTTGTATGGCCATGGAGACGGTCCAGAACCTTCAGACCGTTCGCGGCACTCCGGCCTACGGGTCACGGACAATAGCACACTCCACGGAGCCACCACGTGTCGTCACAAGCCGCAACGTGTCCCCGTACGTGTCACCTCCGCCCCTCCCTCGCCTCCGCCTCGAGCTTATAACACTCCGGTCGGCCTCATCCTCTCCCTTACCGCAAAGCTCACGCACACCACCGTCGTTGCCAACTGATCCAAGATTCCAAGCTTTCAAGATTCCGCCGCATTGACGGATCGAGTAGTGCTGATAGGGTACGCCCATGTCCAGGTTGATGGCCGCCATGCTTCTCGGAGGCGCGCGGGTCGCCAGCGCCACGGCGCTCACCGGCAACACTGCCGTGAAGGCCATTCCCAGGCCCTGCTTCCTCGCTCCCCGGCCGCATGCCGCGAGCTGGAGCCCCATCTGCATGCAGACCGCCCCGAGATCGTCGCAGGTACGTGTATACAGAAGTTCAGTTTGGTTCCATCTGCCATGCCACGGTTTTTCTCTCGAGGTGCATGCTGACACTCGTGCTCGCCGGCTTTGGTTCGTGCGTCGCCAGGCGTATAACAACGCGCCGGACGACCGGAGGGAGATTAAGGACAAGTACAGGGGCGCAGCGGAGCAGGCCAAGGATGCCACCGGCCATGCCAAGGAGAGCGCGAAGGACCACGCGTCGCGCATGGCCGACGAGACCAAGGACAGGGCCGGGGACGCCGCCGAGAAGGCCTCCCGCATGACGGAGAAGGCGAAGCACGAGACCAAAGAGACGGCAAGCCAGGCCGCGGACAAGGCGGGAGAGATGAAGGAGAAGGCCAAGGAGACGGCGGAGGAAGCCGCGGAGAAGGCCTCCCGCATGACGGAGAAGGCCAAGCACGAGACGAAGGAGACGGCAAGCCAGGCCGCGCACAAGGCGGGGGAGATGAAGGAGAGGGCCAAGGAGACGACGGGGCAGGCGATGGACAAGGCCAAGGAGACGGCGGGCGCGGCCAAGGAGAAGACGGCGGAGGTGGCGGAGGGCGCCATGGACAAGGCCGGCGAGGCCAAGGACAGGGCCGCGGAGGGCACCAGGAGCGCCGGGGAGAAGGTGGCGGAGATGACCAAGGAGGGCGCGAGCAAGGTGGCCGAGACGGCGCAGGCGCTCAGCGAGAAGGCGAAGCAGGCGGCGCAGGGCGCCTGGGAAGCCACAAAGGAGGCCGCGCAAGGGGTGAAGGAGAAGGTCGGTACAGAGAGCACGGCGGAGGAGCACTCGACGTGGGACGACGTCGAGGCCGCCACCAAGGAGAGGGACAGGATCGCGCAGGAGGAGCGGAAGAGGCAGGCCAGGGAGAAGGGCGCCGGCTTGCCGTAGACGAAGATGGCTGTCCGGCTGGACATCTCCACGCGTCTAGTGGCCTCTGTTTCGAGTTGAATTTTAGTTTTCAGCCTCTTCGGTTTACATGTTGAATAATGCTTTGGCAAACAGATGCGCCGATGCCTCCCCTGAGATGAAAATATTGGAGCAATCGTGTAGAAAAAACAAGAAATTTCTTTTGAGCTCTGCAATATGTGCTGTCTCTTTTTTTTTTCCGATGGAGAATGTGTACCGTCTCTGATGGAGGATGTCCAATACTAGTTGAACCACTAGTCGTCTGTCTTTGGAACTCTGCGATACTGCCATTGATCTTCAGTTTTATCTCTCAGCGGCAAAGATCTTCAGTTTTATCTCTCATCGACAAAATCTTCAGTTTTTTTATTGACAGACAGAAAAATCATGGCTTCAGTTTTTTTATTGACAGAGGAATATCATCGTTTGCATGTCCGTGTTAGTAGTTGTTGGAATTTTGCTAATAGGCCTTTGTTTCAAAGCCCAATTAATTTGTCTATTCATGCGTGGAGTGAGTAAGACTAGAGTTTAGTGCTACGGAAGTTAAGAAAGACTAGAGTTTAGTGCTACGGAAGTTAAGAAAGACTTGCACCTTAAGGAGAACTCTTCTACAACTTGTACGAAGATGAGACGTTCTCATCGCTTGCCTTGCCACGCCTCGTCACGACGCTCGGACGTGGGGTTTACTACTCTCACAACCTGACCCGCATTATATAGTCAGTTAGACGTCTGCTTTAGCCGTCGCCGTTTTATATGGTTTTGCACCATCGTTTCAGATCATTGCGTCGTCAAGCAAACCTTCTTCATCCTTTTTTTCGGCGTGCACCGGAAGAAGGGACAGTAAGCCTCCGGAACCCCGCCTGTAATCCTGTACGGGAGAGGGATGATCAGGTTTTGGGGGAGCGCACCTGCGCGATTGCTGGCAGCGACGACTTCGCGAACGACAACTTTTTCTCCGACCTTGGTAATCCCATCCTCGACGACATGGGAGACAACATCAACGCAGGCGGTGCTATTTCCGCTACACCGTATGTGATTCTATCCTTCTTGTTTAAAATCGTGATAGAATTCATGTTTTTAATATATGGTCTAGATGTGATATACTCATCTATTATGTTAGTTCGCATGATTAGCTTAATCTCTGCAATTGTTGTCATGATTTATTTTCTATTTATTCAGATTAAATTTTATAGTAATTTAGTCATATTTCCAGCAGTAGGTAAGTTAGAAGGGAACGTGAAATGACTTCAAGTTTTGTTGTTTTATTGCGGGGTGATGATTTTATAGAAGAAGATCGTGCTTGCGATGTCTTCTTCACTCAGGACTGGCCGGTAGCTTCAGGTGATATTCATGTTTGGCATATGCCTCAATTGGTATTCATGTTTAGCATATGCCAGCTCTGATCGAGATTTTTTTTTAAGAATTCTCGCCAGCTTTATTCATTTAAAGTGTAGGTCATAGGTATAAGGTTTGGGTCATTGGATTATCCAACTACATATGTCTACCTACGTCTATCTCTAGGCTATAGGCTATAAGCAAACTTGATGAGATTATGAGCTTTTAAAAAATTAAAGTTTCTATGCTCATGAATAAAAGAACATGAAATAATACTATTACAATGGTCTCATGTATGATCGCTGTATTTGGTCCTCCAGTCCCCTGTTTATGTCATCCACCACACCTTGGCAATTGGACGCGACATATATAGCTCTCACAGCTAGGTCATCTGCTAGTGCGAGTGCTTCCGGACACGCATATGTCTTCAGGATTTGAGGGTCATTGGTTCCTTAAATAAACATTGCCGAGGACCCTAGGTATAAGCCTGTTTGGTCCCTACAAATCGCAGCCTCTGCTCCCCAATTACGCCTTCTAGCGATTGGTCTGTCTACATTGATTTTCACACTTCCAGCTGGAGGCGGAAGCCAGCGCTGAGGCTGTGCTGTAGTCGTAGCAGTTGGGCCTCTACTGCCTGTTTCACCAACGACTGCCCCAAATCTGAGAGAAAATTGTCAACAAAAGATGTAGTCTGTTGTGGACTCTGAAAGACGGATTTATAGATTGTTTTTCGCCTAGCATGCCATATGGACCATAGCGTGACAGCCATCCTCGTGAAGCTTGTGTGTTCCATTGAGTCGCTCAACTCGAACGGCCACAACCTGGCATTGGGCTCCATATTACATGTCATCTGCGCGACCAAGTCATCGTCCGACAGAGCCCAAATACACCTTGACATGGTGCATGAAATAAGGGCATGTCGCCATGAGTCCTGACACCCACAAAGAGGGCACGCGTCTTGGACAGACATATTACGTTTCTTCAAAATGTCAGTGGGCCGGCAGCCCAGTTCGTATGGTGCTGTTGCTTAGCGAGCGTTCTTACCGTGTTCTTTTCTATCAGATGATTTCCCTTGTCTAAAAAAAAGTGTTCATTTCTATCTAGATGATTTCCCTTGTCTCAAAAAAATCTAGATGATTAAGATGATTTCCCCGTTGCGGCAAGAATTTAAGGATTAATCTCAGATAAATTATGTATGAAAAAATAATCAAAATAAAAACTACTATTTTTTAAGGTAGACAAGTTTCATATTTATATTTGTGTGAGAACAAACCACAAACTATCAGGTGATAACCACACCTTAAATGTTCTTATAATACCAACTTTGAAAAATTAATTTTATATGTTTCAAAAAGATCTAAATATTTTTTTGAGTGTTCGCAACGTACATGACTACAACCCCTAAAAAATCATATCCGAATTCGAAATACACATTGAGAAATAAAAATAACATATCTAGTGTGGATAGTGCCAAAAAAGACATACAAAACTGATACTTCACATCTGGATTTATTTTTCTAATTTCTCATTGTGCATTTCAAACTTAAAAGCTGAAATTTTTAGGGGTTGCAGATACATTCCTTATAAAATTTCGGATTTTTTGTAACACTTAAACTTATTTTTTTGAAATCGTATCATGGAGGCGTTTAAGGTGTGCTATCACGGGATATTCTTCCATGTAGTTTGCTAGTTTGCATGGGTTGAAGCAACAACTCGCCGGAGCTCGCTCGCATAGATGGTTCTTCTTCGCATAATAAGTTCATACACGCTACATACATACATAAAGGTTAGATATGCTAGACAAGGCCTACGCTACCGCACCACTGCAACAAAATTGAGCTCACCAGAGCTCCTCCTAGGGTAGCTGCCCACCGGCAGCGATCAGTCGGAGTCGGAGGAGTCAGAGTCGAGGTCGACAAAGAGCTTCGCCTGCTCCTCCTTCATCACGCGCAGGTCGGCCTCCTTCGATGCGTGCGCCTGCGATGCCGTGAGGCCCGTCTCGAGGAAGAGCCACTCGTACTCGAACTCGCGCCAGATGCGCTCTTCCATCTCCTCCTGATCCCTCGTTGACCGCTTGAGGACGACGCGCTCGAGGAGCTCCTCCTGCCCCGGTGGGAGGTAGTCCTCGGGTACGATGACGCCTCGGCGCGGCGGCGCATTGGGCACGGCCTCCTCCGGCTCCCTCTTCACCAGAACGAGCCGCGAGCTCGATGCGCCCGCGGATGAGCACCCCGCGGACCCGTGGCCGGATGAGCTCCCCACGAACCAGTTGCCGGAGGAGGCGCGGCGGCGACGGGCGCGCTCGAGCTCGAACTCGTCGAGCTCGCGCCGGTTGAATGCCGGCGGCGGCTGGGCACCCTGGTTGAGCCACCGACGCGCCCCCGCTTGCGTGCGGCGTCAGATCTGGCACGGCGGAGACACTCCGCCTCATCCCCCGAGTCGGCCATGGTGGTTCAAGGCTTGCCGGCGGCGAGAAATCGAGCGGCGCGGTGGGGAATTGGAGGGGAACACGACGGCGGGAGGATAGGGTTTCGACCCGCACTGCCCTGCAAACCCGTAGTTATAGTGGCTCGGGGGTTGCGTTTGCGGGCTGCGGCAAAAAAATTTACGTGCCGGACACCGATGCGGGCTCTGGTCTGGCCAAAAAAATGAGCCGAGCCCGTATAATCACCAAAATTATGCGGATTTGCGCCGGATGCGGGGTCTGCTAAAGTTGCTCTTAGTAGATATTTATGATGGGGTGGAAGGCTGCATGTTGACATAATTAGAGGTAGTGACTAGTGAGGGTCCATTATTTAAGTATACATAGGATTCCAGTGGAGTTTTTTATTTTCCGCTTTCTTGGTTTCCGTCTTCCCATTTTTGAAGTTACACGCACATTTCTACAAATATTTATACATTGAAAACTAATGTTCAGAATTTTTTTGATGTTTATACTCACAAAAAAAAGTATGCTCCATGATTTTTAACTTGTTTTCATTAGTTTTTTTCTTCATAATTTAAAAATATATGGTTTGAAAGGAATGTTTAGAAATTCCAAAAATTGCTCACAATTTATAAAAAGAAACCATGATCTGAAAATGTTAAATAATTTTAGAAACATTCACAAACTGAAAAATATTGTATTAAGGAAATGATCACAAACGTTATTCTTTTTAGTGCAAAGCAGTTTGAGCAACTTATTCCGTGAGTAAATGGAAAGAAAAGTGAGAGAAAAATTGAAATCCCTCACAAAAAATACAAATCAAATGCTAAACCAGAAGAAAATCAAAACCCGATGGTAACCACACAAAAAGGTGAAGAAAGAAAATAAAATAAAATGAGAGAGACAAACAAAAACAAACTATGGACGCTCAGAGAGAAGAAAAGGCACGAGAACTGAAAAGAAGTAACGAACTGGAATTCATTTCTCGTACCTTCTTTCTGCGGATAGCATAATTATACAAAAGAAAATAATAATAAAACATGGTGTACACTCTGCAAAAAAAAAGTATGAGAAGTGAATTCCAGTTCGTTACTTTTTCTTTTCACGCGCAAAAAAAGGCAACAGACTGGAAGTCACTTCTTCTACCTTTTTGGTGTGCATGAAATGAAGTCTGTTTTGAACCTTGAAAGCATCTCCAACAGAAGCGCTATATAAGCGACGCGCG